TAACTTTCAAATACTTTATTTTATTTTGGTTCGCAAATAAGTTGGTTGATTTCTCAGCTTTTACTGTCGGTTATGAGTGAACTACATAATAAATAGGTAATTTTCATTTAATATTGTTTACTATGTTCTCGTGTTTTAGGTATTTGACCGAAGAGTGATTTAATATTGAATATTCGGCCGAAGAGCAAAAAATAAACAAAACACCGAATAGTAACCGAATATTCGTTACAACTCTAAAATGTACCTAAACTGCAAGGAAATGATACATGTAGAGTCGATAATAGGTCCTCCTCGGCAATTCCGGAATGATTATATTAATAATTGTTGTATTTTGTCATTACGTGTGTGACAATGTGGTTATTTTGTTTTTTGCCTTTTAGGTGAGGTGTTATCCACTCTATGTCTATTACATGAAAGTAAATATACTCTGCCGTTTCCGACCTCTGATTATTACACATATTGATTGAACATACCTCTAAATGTATCCAGAGGTTATCTTCACATTCATAACATTTCATGCATTAGTGATTTTGTAAGATAAAATCACTATACCTCAAGTTTTGGTAACCATTACTTGTTGACTTCCACAATCCGTCGTAAACAGATGCAATTTGCGTTTGGAACTGAGAAATAGTAAGCATAAAAGACAGTTTAGCCAAGTACCTCGAATATTGTTAGACATATCATACGGTTCAATAGTTATAGATAGACAGGTTTATAACACCAATGTTCTTAAAAGTGTCGTCGTTGTGCGACTTTTTGCAGCCGCAGCATAGTAAAATTTGTTCTAATATCGTGTATCTGAGTGAGTTCAACGTACTTATATAACTGCCTATAGTACAGTCATCATTATATTCATGATCAAACTAAACAAATATACATATATACACATCTAAAGCGGTCTTATTATTTCAAATTCATTGACTAACATTGTTTTTTTTTTTTTTTAAATATTTCAAGCTCTGAATTTGTCGATTTTGTGCGTTTAATGCTGACTGTACTTTTTATAACCACGGTGGCTGTTGATATTATTTAAACGCCAATAAAATAAGCAGCCAACCACTACGCTATTAGGTTAAATTTTTGTACTGGTCTCTGTTTTTAGCATGTTTCTATATCTACATGTTCGTGTCTAAAAGTAGGCCTGCGCAATAATGGAGGATTTCTCATACACGTCACATTTGACAGTCTATACTTTATATTAATTATTTATACAAGGATCGAATACAAGAAAAATTTCTTCAATCCGGTTGGATTAGAACCAGCGCCTCCAGCACACCGTACTTGACGCTCTCTAACTGAGCTACGGAACAAACTAGCAGACCTGACGAATTTTAGTATGTTCTTGTTGGTTTGTTTTTGGTTTTTAAACTATAGTCCATTTGTTTAGGTACTTAACTAAATGTAAACAATCTTGATACATCTTTTTTATTAAAACATATACTTTACAAATCAGCAGGTATAAAAATAGGCATGCAATTTCATATGAACTAAGTGTTTGTATTTTGTATTTGAACGTAAGTAAAAATAATTTTATAAGTGTATATTGCATTAAATAGATATCTCAAGATTGTTTACATTTAGTTAAGTACCTAAACAAATAGACTAAAGTGAAGTAATTTCCCAAAAAATAATTGAATATCTTGATAGTAAAACATCATAATATAGTTTTACGACATTGGCAAGAAAATTGAGCGGTTCTATATAAACAAAAAAACCATTCGGTTACTACTACTACTACTAATAAAATGAACAAAACCACATCAAAGTACTTTCCATATGAAATCAACCGTAGTTCAAAATGCCACGTTAGATCTGTCAATGTAGATTGATATTCCGTAATTCGACCCTGCGGTTGCAGAGCTGTCCGTGCTTAATAGGTCATTACATGCCATTGCAGTTGACTTCGTATAACGCTACTCTATGAAGTACTTTATATACTATAGATTGGCTCTTAGAGGAGGCGAGGTAGTGCATTCATAAGTACCGGAGACTTGAGAAATAATCCTGCAAACATCTAAATATAAATCTTAGTTTTTACAAATCTTGTGATGACTTGGATTGGTGAGTCTGGTATAGTAAGGGCCAGTGCAAACTGGTGCTCGGGAAGGCAGAGGACATTGAATATTATGCTATTCTTGTTGTAATAAGGTATGAATTGCAATGCTCTTGAAACCGACCTCGGAGCATGTATATCCCTCTGCGTCTCAGAGCATTGAAATTTATACTTTATGGCAGTAGTAATAAAATATACATTGATAAATTTAATGTCCTCTGCCTTACCGTCCACTGGTTTACCTGGCTCTAATTTTGTTCTTAAATGTTACTACTATTTCTTCTGAGTACACTCCCTTGTAATTGCCCATGTTAATGCGCTTGGGGCTCAGTTTACATTGGTATGGAACTGAATTTTTGTACTCATAGCATAATAAGCTTTATGTCAATTGTGGAACGTACAAAGTAGATTTAAAAAAACAATATAATAATATCTAGTTTGTACGTTACACAATTGATATAAATTCATTATGCTGTGTACTTTAAAAAAAAATTGCTTCCATTCCGTTCTGAAACGATGTAAATGCCTTACATTGAATGAATTGTCTACTTTGGGGAAATAGCTCTTAAAGTTTCAGAAATTAAGTTCAAATTTGAAAAACAGAGTTTCGTTTAGTTTTGGTATTGTTTTCAATGAAAAAATTAATATTTTGAGTCTTTAATAAAAATAGCCAAAACAGAACAAACTATTTCTCCTTTCATTGTTTCACACGCCTATTTTGTGGTGATACTCTTGATTCTGCGAACATGCTGGAAACATAAGCCTTAACATACACTGCCAACTTAAACAGTAGACTGATCGCCTACCATTAGCTAGCATAGCAGTAAGTAAAAATTGCAGTTATAAAATGATCCATATGAATATATGAATAAGCTAAATAAATATGAAAAACTATAATAAATATACAATATTCAACTTCCATGGAATCTGTAGCTTCCTAATGGAAAGTATAATACGTTTTTCGCAGGTTGATTATTTTTAATTCAAAATTACTATGAAAATTTCTTTTGGTTCGGCTTTGCAAAGCGGAATTCTTAGAGATTATTTTTATATATTTCAATGTATCATAATTTTAAATATTTAGTTTCAAACGTGTGTCATTACAATATATTATGAATACAAATAAGTCGTGTTATGAAACACAAATACAAGATAATACAAAATTAGCAGGTATGTGCTATATTCAAGGGTTTATAGCATTACAGAAAAGAACAAATAATTTTTATTCCTATTCATTTTATTTTAATATTGATTTTTTGTTATAGCTTGTCTTTACACACGCCATATTTTGTTTTCCTACCTCTTCCATTTTGAACATCACCAAAGTGTCAGGGATGTATTCAATGTCCATTTTTAACCGTAAATAAAATGATTATTTCTAATTTATACATTATTTCTCTTATGTATTAAAAATAGTGCTATAAATCCCTGTTTTTTTTTTAATAAATACTGGCTTGTACCTAGACTTTAACGTCGTGTAAACAGAAATGCTTCCTATGTAGTGCTAAATATCTGAGACATGATAGTTCGTATAAATAAGTTAGATCCGTTGTGCAATGTAATATTATGTCGTGGAATATTACGGTTGTCTTATTTATGTTTTAAGTCAGTACGTATGCAATGTCGTGTTTTTGTTTATTGTTTTTTTTTGTAAAATGGTTACGTTTGAGCGTTTTTGACCAACGGGGACTTATTTTATTTACTTATTTAGCTATTGAAGTAATTTATACAATCTGTTATTGGAGTTTCCACACTTCTTGGTTTAACTGGTCTCTTTATGTTCATGTAATAAGAGCGTTTTGCTTTCGCTTGGATCGAAAAGGACAAAGCTTTTTCTGACCCGCTTAATGCGTGTTGATAAGTGTGGTGATTCCTTAAAACGCCTTACGTTAGTATATTACTAATGTTAATGACGATTTTCTGTATTAAAATTGTTTTAATGACGTACAAACGTAACCATTAAGACAAACGCAAGAGAATTTGTTATTATGTATGTGCGAAAATATTCCACTGAGTATCGATTTGTGTAAGAAGTTATCACCAAATAATATTATTATGAGTAAGTGTATGCATCGTCATTGTCAAGTAGTTGTAAGGTTTATAAAAAAGGAAGTATGTTAGCCATATTGCTGCGTTACTATTAAGCTGAGTATTCGTTAGGCAAAATTTGTTATGTGATTCTCAACTGTCGCTGTGTATGATGCGAGACGTGGGTCAATGTTACACGACATGGATCAGGGTGACTCGACATTATATCAAGTGTTTGAAGAGGACTTGTTATTCTTGTTAGTTTTGGGCACGTGAAACAAATATTGCCTAATAAATATTAGATATTCATAAAACATCTCAAGTCTCACAATAGTTCCTTTGTCATGTGTCATTTTAATGTTCATACTAGTAACGAAAGAAATGTAAAAGATATTCATTTTAAATATTGTATAAAAATAATTTATGAATAATTATTTGCTATCTCAAATATGATTTTTTTTTGAATAAACATTTACATACGAATTTATTGTTATTGCTTCATTTTAATATTAAGTTTCTTGACCCGTTAATTTCAAATGAATGAATTCATTCAATGTTAATTAATACATTGAATGAATTCATTTCATTCAATATGTATTCATGGCTTACATGTTCATTTTAATAATGTATTTTTACCTAAATTGTTAATTTTAACTATGAAAGTCGTACAAATAAATGCAATACGTGCAGAATCAAACCTTAAAAAATAAATATTTAGATGAGATAGTGGAAATGTTAACAAATCTAAGACGATTAATATTACGGCCGCGCACAGATGCGCGCCGCGAGTCTAGCACACCACTACGACGCATTGACGCTCGCGCTTTACCGCCAAGAACCTAAAAAAAAACAAAATTAGAAAATAAACAAATTAATATCTGTGGCGTAACTTTTCAACTAATGCTGTGACATGTGTATTATTAGTGTTGGATAATATTATTGTTGATTGAACAAAATGACAGCGGGAGCAGGAGAGGAACATGAACCTCTTATTTCGTCTTCAGTGGACAATCAACGGGTTGCTTTTGTTAATTCGCCTCAGGTAACGTGTCTATTTTTTACTTTTACACATTTCATAATTGATATCTATTTAAGACTCTTTTTGATAACAAATATTGGATTTGATTGTATAAATCTGTAAAACCTAAAAACTCTTTAGTATCGTAGATGTAAATTCTTTAATTAAACATCCAAGCGACAATAATGATATCGATTTATTATTTAGTTTTCGTATTTCCTATCAAGTTTTAAAAATACACTTATATACTATACATAGTTATGTTTCAGCATAAATTATTTTGTCGATATGCTTTAAAATTTGATGGCCTAATGGAAATCTACTGAGAATGTGAATCAATCCGGTTCAGCCTCCAAAATGTTAGACTCGATTGACGATTCGAAACAAGGATGCCAACTATAGCCTTCGGGCACTTGAACATTTAGCGTTTTTCTTTCAACATAAACGCGTTGTTTTTATGCTATTATTAGTTATTACTTTATTTAACGATATAAAGAAAAAATAAACAATCTTTTATTATCACTTCTCTAAACTAATATTAGGCTTTATTACCACTGTATAAAACGGCGCGCTTAAAAATATACTAAATAGTTCTACTACGGCCTGTGAAACCAGTAATACTGGTTTCAAAGGTATGCATTAAACTATTAGATTCTAAGAAAAATTTGGAAGGCAACTTGAACTTTAAATCGACGAACCGTTACTTTTGTAAGACTATAAGGTACCTATGTACTATATTTTTTTAGAGAAATGTCCGGTCCTGTATATAAAGGAACAGTAAACATTTTAAACATTGTAATTTTTTTTTAGGATATTCAAATTATGATTATTTTAACATCTGTAATAGTTACATTTTACAATTATTATCATTAAAATTGATTAATTAAATTCATATGTGATATTTAAAGAAACAACATTTTACATCTAGTTCTCTTGCTCATGTGAGTAAATGTATAACGTACCTCTACGTATACTTGTATGCTATTGTTTTCTTTCTAACTTCTATTTGTGTCTTTACAAATAATGAATTATGAAAAACACATCACCATAGACTTAAAAATTGTATAAAACGTATTGACCTTTTTTCGGTAGAGTCATATTCTAGCGAAACCTCTCCACTTATTTATATACTTCTACAAATAAATAATGAAGTACTTATATGGTTTCTAATCATATATTTGAAATTATTGCGATTTTAACATACATAAATCTTTTTAAAGGTTTTTAAGGCTTTAGAGTAGGCCTTTTGATCTTTGAATTGATATGTTTATTGTCTTCAATTCGATTCAATGGGCTATATCCGTCAGAGCTCTTATGCGTAGTCAAAGATAGTTTAAGGTGCCGTATCGAATCTAGAAGGACGTTAATCTTGAGAACATTTTGGTTGTAAGTCGTGTATTAATAGAAAGACAATATCAGATGAGTACCTACGTATTACGTGAATAAGTTTAGTGATTGTTTACCAAGTTTGGTATTGTTTCGATGTTACGCGATTCTTTCTGATATGCTTTAATTTTATTGTAGTAATTTATTTTCATCACAATTCACTGAATAGTCCATTCTAAAATTCATATTCGTATTACATTAAATAAAAAAAGTTATAAATTATAATTCACATCGACAACCAATGAGGACAACTTTCATTCGATGAATGCTACCCATTCGCATTCATCGAACATTGTCCTCAAGAACAGTCAAGCTGAAGATCCAATTAACCGGTTGTTAATCAGTTTCACCCCATTGGCAATATTGTCATCTGTACTTTGAATCTTAAAAAAACGCGGCAATACAGTGGCCCTAATCATTATTCGTGATTCATTTAAACTGTTCCACTGTCAAAAATGTCACCCTTTAAGGTCCTCAAAGGTCTGTTGCGGGTGTGACAGAGCGCTACCGGTATCACGTGTATGTAACACGATACAGTTCCGGCGTTCCGGTAACCAATACGGGTCCCTCCCTAATTCCGAGCCCTAATTCACACTAGGGCTTCTAACGTTACCACACTTTTATGTAATTGTTACTAGCTCAGGACGCGGAGTTAGGTAAACGGATTCGGTTATTGCACTTGAATATGTGTGTACTTTTTTAGTATCAGTAGAGTAGAAGTACTACCACGTTACCTATTTCTTTTTTTTTTTTTTTTTATAAAATATAGGTGCGCATTTGACCTCCATCTCACCTGATGGAAAGTGACGATGAGGTCGACGATGGAGCATGCACACCTAAATAATGCCTATTCACTCTCGCCTTGAAAAGGTCCAAGTTATAACGTTCAGGGAACAAGTCTGCAGGCAGGGAATTCCACTCCATAGCCGTTCGCCATATAAATGTGGAAGCGTAACGCTTCGTGCGAATCTTTGGAATATCCACAACATAGGGGTGGAACCCAAGCCTACGCCTAGTCCCCCGGTGATGGAAAGGGGAAGGCGGAATTAAATCATGTAATTCCATCGCACACTCTCCGTGATATATCCTGTAAAATACCGATAAGCAGGCAACTTTACGGCGGTGTTCAAGGCTCTGCAGCTTCGCCTCCACTAATTCCGAGTCACCTATAAGTCTCTTGGCACGGTTGGCTTGGCACGGTTCTGCCGCCGAGCAGTAATGTGAGTATTATTGCGGTCCGGTTTTGAACGATAAGGGCGCTGATAAAATTACAGGCACTTGGGAGTTGTTAACTTATATCTCAGGGTGATGGGCGCAGTGGCAGTGCCCCACAGATCTTTCTGATTTAAAACTCTGAACAGCACTGCTGGAACTGCTATGGACAGACGAGTTGCTCAGGCAGACGACTTGTTAAAAAAACTATTAGAGTGCACTGGTATCTTTACTCGTAAACATTTTACCAAAAAAAAATAATTAAAAAAAATCCCTGACTGAGTTAGCATTGTAAGCTTAACGTATATAACTACTGTTACATCTATGTCACGCAAGGCCATTTATTTCTTTGAAACTTTATTAATTACGTGCATTCCATTAAGAGACCATACTACCTCGAATGGTTTTAGTTGATTCCGCATAACAAAGTGTTGAATCAATCACTTTTGAAAAAATATATAATAAAATTGTGGATATACACTGATAACTATACGGGGTGATAACACGATTCCTAAAAATAATCACGATAGAAAAAAAAACCATTTATTCTATTATAAAGTGCACATACATTAATGATTTTTTTTATACCAATGAAACTAAATAGAACACGTATACTATGCGATATACATTTTTCAAATGGTTTTAATTTCGTTTATAAGGAAATTAATTCTGAAATCAAGCCAGCGTCCCTGCCGCTGGACCTAAACAATTTGAACCATATTAGTATGGGAAAAATTTTAATTCCAGCTGAGGCAGTATAGACTCTAAACAAGTTTTAACACTGAAGAACTCTTAAAACTCCAAGTAACCTAGTATTCGACAAAATGCTTAACGATGATTAAATATATCCTGAATATTCTTTGTCTTGTAATTGCATATATGTTGCATTTATTATCCAAATCGATACAAGTGGTGACCAACCCCTTTGGCGACGGATCGGATTCGCGACATCCCCTCCTAGAGTCTGCCCATGTGGAAAACACTAAGGTAATTTCACGTCTTAGTATTCATTTTATAAGTCATTAGCTACACTGGGCATTTAGTCAGAATTTTTAAGGGGAAGTGTTATGGTTATAAGGAGAAATAAGAACCTTTGAAATAAGAACCGTAACATAGAGTTTTTTTAACTAATAAGTTTAAAACTTTAAGTAAGTATACGCAGCATGATTCACGCTCAGAGCCTTGTTATTAGCGGGTTTAAATCGAATCAAACCCCATTAATGCCCGAAATCGAGTGCAAAAACTATTTACAATGAAATATTTGTTTTAAATCGAGTTTAGTTCAAATTTAATGTTATTATATCAAAAAGTTAATTGCTTTCTTTTCTGGACGATTCGATTTGCCTTTCTATTAAATCGATTCAAGAAAAATCGTTAGATCGTATGCACTTGAATCGATCTACATAAAAATCGAATCTTAATGTGCATCCTTAGTGGTGAGAATCCACACGATTGCAAGGTATTGTGTGATGATACCTCTTTTTTGTATAATAATGATTTTTACCATAATAATTTGTAATAAGTATTGTAATAGGAATTATACCAAATTCCGTAGTAGTTGTTTCTGCCCACGATTTTGGGCAGAAATAGATTAAAACCCCGCGCTCTGGGTAAGAACCCGCCTAAAACCCGTGCGGGTTGATTGGGTTTTAACCCACTGCACATCTCTGTTCACGCTACTCACGTACCTTACATCAATTATTTTCAATAATAAACTTATCATTATTGAACGATTTGTTTGTTAAAATTAGACACCCAATTAAAAAAAAAAGGTGATGAAAATAATTTGATTTTTTGTTACTGTGTAGGACGAAAGACAGAATAACTTTACAAAAAAGAGTGTGTTATTAAAAAAGAGTGTGTGAAAAATAGTTTAATTTCTTATAGGTAGATGTTTTTTCGTGTTACTATGACATACCCATAGCCAAGTTTCGAGAATGCGAGAGTTCAATTCCGATTATCTCCCAGCTTCTTTTTGACTCATATGCAGTTGAAATTGCAAATAATCACTTGCCAAAAGGGAGACGTAAAACATCGTCACAAAAGTTATGGATTGAAGGAGGAAAATCTCTTCGAAGACGTGTAGCTCTAAAGCTGAATAGGGCCAGCGTGATTGACTATGGCCTAAACCAGAAGTTCCTATATTTTTGTCTGATCGACCACGTGCCATTTTTCTGTTTTGCGTAGACCTCTCGCCCTTCTAATATTGAATTTGAAATGACACAGTGCTAGTGAGAAACTTTATAAATAATAATCTCAGTACAGAGTGCTAAAAGGACAGACCTCAAAAATCATCCATCCCCTCGTTTGCCACCCTAAGGCTCAACTCACACTGGCGCAGAGTCGTCGCGACACGCGTCGACGCGCGACGACGCGCTACCAAGCGTCGCCACTCGATTCCATATTTGCAAAACACAAATTTGTACCTTAATAATTGGAAAATATAGATAAATATGCTATAGGCGAAAAACATGACGCGCCGCGACGCTTCGACTCTGCGCCAGTGTGAGTTGAGCCTTAGAGGTGCAATATTTTTTTCAAATTCGAATAGGACTACTACTAAGGTACCCTCTTTCCAACAAAAAAAAGAATCATCAAAATCGGTTCACAAAGTGAGTTATCGCGTAACATACATACATACAAAAAAAGTATACACTCAAATTGAGAACCATTGAGAAACTCCTCCTTTTTTGAAGTCGATTCAAAAACAAATTGACATTAAGTTATAAATATTGATTTATCTAAACGAATATTTCATTTGTTGTGAAATGTGTTTATTATAAAATAACTGTGTAATGTGGATTATTCTATTTATGGAAACGTAAAATTTTGGTCACGATCTGCCTAAATGGGTTCCACTCCCGTGAATCCCCATTAACGTCTCATATATTCCGTATTGTTGTATCGCTGTCATGGATGGATGTTCGTCATGGTGGGGCGAAGTGAACCCCTACGGGTCGATTTAGACCACTTTGGGAATTATCGACCTAAACCCTATTCTTAAAAGATACCTGTGCTCAGTGAGACGTACTTAGACAGACGGTCTAAGTAAATAACAATAATAGAACAATGGGCAAGCATTGTTAGTGTAGCATAAGTCATAAATTCATAATAACACAGAAAACCGTGTCTTGGGAGACACGACTTATCAGATTGCATATACTGACTAGGTCAGTATGTGCATTCTGATAAGTTGAAAAAGACGTTTTACAAATACAAGGGTTGAGACATTCAAAAGATAAGACGGTTACAAGACTGTCTCTGTTTCGTACGCTACTAATTAGCTACTCATGCTAGTTAGCGCTTATGTGATTTATGTTTTTAACGTGCAACTGGTTAAGTTCGAAGGTATTAATCCAGAACATTCAGATCAGGACCAATGCAGAAAAGTTTGATTCCCAAATTAATCCTACCCGGAATCTAGCACAGGCCCTCTCCATTTAGCATCGACAGTTCACAACTTGGCATATGAATTTCTTTAAAATTCAAGAAAGTTATTAATGCAGTGTATATATAAAATAGAACTTTAACATTCAATTTGTCACATATGAAAACCTTGCTGAACAAAATATATAGCAGTAAGCGATCAACTCAAACAGGGGAGAGTCATGGGCGTCTGACTCGTCACACTTAAAAAATTAAAAGTTTAAGAGTTTTAAGTTTAACAAATAATGTCATAAATTTATATAAATAAATATTTGCGATTGTAATGCACATCTGGCTTCATGATGTTTTTATTTTAAATATGGTTAACCAAATGATTAGGGAGAAATTAGTCGAAGTTTGAGAAAAAACGAGTCAAAATATTCCACCCGTCACTTTTGAATGGCTCAAAAGCGTTTGCAAAGTCATTTAAATAAAATAATTCACCTTTAGTTGAATCTCAGTGTTTTCTTACGACGGTTATCATGATATTTTATTCTTCTACCAAAAGCTAGTGGTAAAATATGATGTGTGAATGAATGAAGTCCTTTTGCGTTCTCTACAACCGCACAAATGACAGTACAACATTTGTAGTCGTTATATTTTGTTTTTGGCTTTTTGCCAGTTTTATCTTATTTTATGTTGTTTTTTTGTTTTATTGTATTTTTATTTTGTTTATTAATTCGTTTTATTTTGTTTTGTTTGTCCCTGTTATCAAAATTTTTTTGTATCTATGTGTCGAGGCTTTGCAATAAATGTCTATTCTATTATATTCTAATCAAATTGTAGAACGTTTTCAAAAGAAATTAGTGTTGTTTGTCCTAAAGTCGCTGGCAACCACCATGGGACCCGTAGAGAGCTCGTAACGATGCTTTGTTTAAAAAAACTAAAAAATGTACGTGATTTTAGACACGAAAAAATCGTTTCATTTTCCAAACCCTAAGAACTCGATTTTTTTATGCTACTAGCCGTGGGGTCATTGAGGTCGTTTGATATGTACATAACCGCTCCTTAGGATGGGAATACGCCAACCAACGTGACACCCCGTGGCAGCGGTGGAGAAGTGACCTTAGCTTTACCACCACATAGAAATTATGGCGCCATCGGAATTGTGGAAAAAGTCACTTACACCTGGGCAGATGTCAATGCTTTCACAACTGAATCACGATCCAGGAATAGAAGCTTCTGGACTTTTTGGAAGACTTCTGATCGCATGTTCCAGCAAAGAAAACAGCTTTTAAAGAATGGTAAGAAAAAATTTTGTTACAAAAAGTTATTTTTGTATACCTTTTGAGAGATGTATTTTATAATCTAAACCTAAGTTGGAATATTTGTTTCATTGAATATCTTGATGGTTTTATAATCATGATAGTCATATATTTTTGGGAAAATGCTCCAATAGTTTGTTAATTTTATTATTATTGATATAAATATCAAATAACACAAAGAAAAAATCCTTCAATTTGACTGTACTCGAACGAGCGTCAGTTAATTGCCACACTGGGGCCCCTGGTCTTTCCAACTGAGACTCGGTTTGTATCTCAGTGGTGGGTGGCCCCGATGTGGCAACCGACGGTGGTTTGAGTCCAGTCAGTTCGAAACTTTAAACTTTTTTTTAAAGTCTCCCGTAGTTTGTGTCATCCACGAAGATCTTACGTAGTCTCACCCATCTACAACCTATGACTTTGACAATGTCCTCTACACATCTTGCTGCATAATTTCTGCATCTTGCTACTCTTTAATCCCTTATATAATTTCATTTATAATTCAATTCGGGACTTAATCGTGTATAAAAAACATATTTTATTTACCTCGTCGATTCGGAAGTGTTGCAACGTCCATGAACTCGAAGGGACTCAATTTCTACATAAACCCTTCGAGACCATGGACGTTGCAACACGAGGTAAAACGAGGTAAATGAAAAGAGGCGTCACGAATTTAAAATGAAATAACGATCGCATTTTGTTAAATCTGCTCGATTTGATTATCCTTGAGCGTATTTGCAATCTTAGTACATGTTCTTTTACATTGACAATAGTAATAGGAAGTTGTACCTTACGTTTCGGAGAGCGGTGTGGTAGGTAAGTGCGAGAACAATTACATCTGAATTGAGGAATCGATACTTAGGACTTTAATTTCTAAGATACGTACATTTGAGAATGTTTTGTATCAAAAACACATGTACACGGTGAGTAATAACATCGTGATGAAAGCTACATGCTGAAGAAGCATACCACAATCCTTGGAAAACGTGTGAAGTCTCCAACTCACATTGGACCAGCGGAGTATGGTCTAAATCGTGTCCTTAGAGGTGACCCGTGTCCAACATTGGGGCGTATGTTTGGCAGGTTGCTCACGCATCTCTGTGATGAACTTACATTTCAATAATTAGTATTTCTCTACTAGTCAATGGAGCGGCATACCCAGGCGAACTACTTGCCATAATGGGATCGTCAGGAGCTGGAAAAACAACACTCCTCAACGCCCTCACCTTCCGGACTCCTAGTGGAGTGATATCCAGTGGAACCAGAGCCCTGAACGGGCAACCAGCCACGCCAGAAGCTCTATCAGCCATGTCGGCTTATGTGCAACAGCAGGACTTGTTTATTGGTACTCTGACAGTTAAAGAACATTTGATTTTTCAGGTAAATTATAATAGAGCATATTTAAAATTAAATTTATAATAGACACGCACTCTCTATAATTTGTTACATACATTCATTTTTTCATATTAAACAGGCATTAGTTCGAATGGATCGCCATATACCGTATGCGCAGCGCATGCGTCGAGTTCAAGAAGTTATTCAAGAGGTAAATAAAGTATAAATACTATTTTGATATTTCTTTTAGTATTTTTAGAGACAACATATGCTTGTTGAATATTCGAAAAATCCTATTTAAAACATTAATTTTCAGTAAGATAAACTTTTTTTGGTTTACCCGCAGTTGGCCCTGTCAAAATGCCAGAACACAGTGATAGGCATTCCCGGCCGGCTTAAGGGTATCTCGGGAGGTGAAATGAAGAGGCTCTCATTCGCTAGCGAGGTCCTCACCGACCCTCCTCTCATGTTCTGCGATGAACCCACTTCAGGGCTCGATTCTTTCATGGCACAGAACGTTATTCAGGTTTGCAGACTACTAATAAGTATGATAAGATCATAAAAAGTTGTGACATTTCTTCTTTTGCTTCCTCTAATTCAACAATGACAAAAACAGTTAACTAGAAACTTACGTTCTTTTAAAATATTTAGGTGCTCAAAGGTCTAGCTCAAAAAGGCAAGACAGTGGTCTGCACGATCCACCAGCCGTCTTCAGAGCTGTATGCTATGTTCGACAAACTGCTCATAATGGCTGATGGCAGAGTCGCTTTCCTCGGCTCCCCTGATCAAGCCACCGATTTCTTTAAAGAGTGAGTAATTTATGTCCTTTCGAACAGAAAAATAGTCGCACTGGCAAACAGGTTAACGCTTTTATTCTCCATATTATTCACACAAGGCTCGGTGCAGCTTGTCCAGCGAATTACAACCCCGCAGACCACTTTATCCAGCTGCTAGCCGGTGTGCCAGGTCGTGAAGAAGCCACGCGTCACACTATCGATACTGTGTGCTCTGCCTTTACTAAATCTGAACTCGGCTGCAAGATTGCTGCTGAAGCTGAGAATGCTCTATACCATGAGGTAAGTTTTTGGCAGTGATGTTTGTAGCAGTGTCGCAATGTGTGGATGTCGATCATAATTTGTAGTCTGAACATTATCATGCTTAATATCTGCAAAGCTAGCGATTTTTGTTGAGTTTATGTGTAAACGCTTAACTTCTCAATCAACTAACCAATTCATTAGGAATCTCTACGTATGGGACTAATAGGAATAAAAATAAAAAACATTGAATTTGTAACAACAAATTTTTTTAACAGCCTCCGTGGCCGAACGGTTACCATACCACGCAGAGGTCTTACGTTCGATTCCCGGGCCGGGAGAAATATTTGTATGACCTACAATTATTTCGTGAGTTTGGGTGTAATTTGTGGTTGTCTATGTGTGTGTCGATGACACCCGCGACATACGATTTCCTTAGTGCGGGGCTATGTTGAGTGCGTTATGCGTTATTATTATTTTGGGTTACAATTGTTCCATGTGAAACTAAGTACATGGAACTATTGGGAATGAACGCCAATGCGCACCTGTCCTTAGTTTTCCCGAACATATTTAAAAATGATACTGTTATTATTTTTATTTCCTTTACGGCCACGTCTAACTGACTCTTAAAAAGCTCGAAACTTAAAAAATAGTATACTCAATGTTAAACCCGAAAAAAGTTTCATTTGAAAAAATAGCAATTACGATTACTTGATATATTAAAAAATCGACATGCTAATCACTCGCTTGATATCATCATCAAAATCGTCAAGCAACAAAAGTATAACTTCTTTCCTTATAGCGAAAGATATCCGGCGGCTGGGCAGATTTGCCGTGGTCTAGCACCGCGGCATTGCGCGTACGCCGTTCGCCATACAAGGCGTCGTGGTGGGCGCAGTTCAGAGCGGTGCTCTGGCGTTCTTGGCTCTCCGTTACGAAGGAGCCTATGCTCATCAAAGTTCGCTTTCTGCAGACCATTGTGAGTGTTGTTAATTGAAATATTTAAATTAAACTTTAATGAAGGCTGATATCTCTACTTTCAAGATATTATTTCAGTAATGTTATATATGTGTGATATTGAGTATATTGTGTTATGATTTAAAATCACACCTTAGGTGTAACAAGGCCACATCTGCAAGATTACACCTTTTCAGATGAGAGATTTAAGAATTCTATGAACGAAGTTAAGTTTTTTATGCTTAGATAGGAGTTAAAAATGTCACATAATAGTATACGGGGTTATTTTTAAAATACTAACAACCTCGCGGGCCTATATTCCTAACATCATAAACAACAACCTATGTTTCATGACTTTTTACAAAACATAATAAACTTTTAAGTTTGTGTTGTACTAGCTAGTCTTATGAATTTCATATTGTTTTTATGACTTTTATGTGACAAAAGCACTTTTGACGTACGAACACATGTAGCATTATATACCAAATGATATGGTCAAGTATCTGGGAAACATTTGCGCGCACAAATGTTCGGAACTGTGATAATCTCAGTAGAGAGTACTAAAAAAACCGACCTCAAAAGTTCGTGGAATTACATCTATTTGCTAAGTTTTATTGAAATCGATTACCGGAAAGTGCGCGAAACCGGATTCACCCCTAGTTCGCCCTTAGAGGTATCTTATCTATAGAGGTACATATCTCCTTTAAATTTAAATGGGACCAATACTGAGGTACCCTCTTTTCAACAAAAAAAAAAAAGATTCATCAAAACCGGTTCACAAATATCCAGTTACTATTGCGTAACATACTTACAAAAAACGCAATCGAATTGAGAATCTCCTTTTTTCAAGTCGGTTAAAAAAAGAAAAAACTGCTGAGCTTTGGTAAAGAATCTATATTCCGCCTAGTACTTTTGCCGAGGCAATTCTCCTGAATTTCACAAATTTTGCAGATGGTATCAATATTGATCGGCGTGATTTACTTTGGGCAGCACCTAGACCAGGACGGGGTGATGAACATCAACGGAGCCATTTTCATGTTCCTTACCAATATGACTTTCCAAAACATTTTTGCTGTCATTAACGTAAGTGTCATTCTTCTTTTTTAAAGTGTTATAGCTTCATCAATAAATCGATGATTTCGCCAAAGTCAAGATTAAGGAAAACTAGTTTTAAGCACTGCAACTGTTATGAACAGGCGTGTCGCTTACCATCAGGTGCACGACTTAGTTCGTCCCGTCACTTCGTATCATAAAAAAAGACACACGTTTATTAGCTAGAATTTGACTGGCGATTTTTGAAGGCAAACTTCACTAGAAGATCTACAACAACAGACATCACAAACATTTACAAAATATTGCAGAAAGAAATTGTTAATTTTAATAAATTAAATTCAATGCTCTAGAGGTTTACTTGACGTGAGCTATTTGATTAAGTAAGGTTTGAGGATAAAATGGTTTCAAAATCAAAAGGAAAAAATACTTTACACCCCCTGTTACTAAAATGATCTAACAACTTTTTATCTTGTACACACCAATAATACATACCACAGGCACCAGGCTATCACACTGTCGACCTCTCCATTTAGATGCATCCGCTCTCCCACTCTCTAGCTCCACCGCTCATTGCAAAATAATTAAGAGGAATATTAATCATAATCAAACAAGCAGAGTTACTCAATATTAAGTCACAATATACAAGGTGTTAAATTAATTGTGTTCCAACTCGAAGTCAATGATTTGACCCGGTAATGCGAACGACTTTAACTATGGAAACCACTAAGTATCGAAAAAAAAATCGGTTGGGTCACACTTTAAGTTCATACCATCTGAACCAAAACATATTTTTATTTATTGAAGCATACATAGTAAAATCACAGTTACTGTGTATTATATCTACATGGGCAGTTCAAACAGTATTCTATTGATATGCATGCAAAGTTAGTATTAAGTAATAAACGTTAACATCCTGCCATTAATAGCAGAAATAGTGTGTGTCTTGTGAATGTGTGCGTACGCATGGGCCTGTGCGTGAGCATGGGCGTGTGCGTGTGTGTGACTTGTGAACATAAATTAACACCTGTGTATAACTAATGTCTTTCTCTTACATTAGGTATTCTGCTCCGAACTGCCAATATTCATACGGGAGCACCACTCAGGGATGTACAGAGCTGACGTGTACTTCCTTTCAAAGACCTTAGCGGAGGCGCCGGTGTTTGCCACCATCCCGCTGGTATTTACCACTGTGGCCTATTACATGATCGGGTTGAATCCCTCACCGGAAAGGTTTTTCATAGCATCGGGCTTAGCAGCTTTGATTACTAATGTTGCAACGTCATTTGGTAAGTTTGTATCTTTTTTACTCATTGAAATTACTGTGTGATAGTAATAAGTCGTTTAAAAATTAAATATACCCAAGTCCTCCATCCGTTCGTAGTCTTCGTAGTTTTGTGATATTTTGGATAAATAAATAAAAACATGTAAAAACAATCTCAATTTAAAATTTCACCCCGAATGAGGGCAATAAAATTCAATGATGTAGTAAGTAACCTAGTAGCACCTTAAACTGCATTTTAATGGATTTATAAAACACTAATTTCTTTACCGGTTCGACTAATAAAACAAATGCGACTCATTTAAAACACTGTAGTATTACACAATGAAAAGTTATAATTTAACGATGTTTACAAATTGCTTTTAACTATAAACAGTTAATAACAGAAAGCACTGTGAGACTAGTTAATTATTAACACAAAGTAAAATTCCTTCTATTCTAATATCATCGACAACCTCCGATCTGGAGGGGCTTGCACACCGGTTTACATGGTGTCGCCATTTCTGAGGTCTCGGAATCGATCCCCGACCGGGTCAATGTAGAAACAATACATTTTCTATATTGTCTCGGGTCTGGGTGTTGCCGATTGCCATAATACAAGTGCTTTAGATACTTACTTTGGAAACAGAGCAACGTATATGATGATGTCTAATGTTTTTAGAAACAGTAGAGCTTCTTGTGAAAGAGTTCGTCTAGGAAAGTACTGCCACCTGACCTATTTCTGCTGTCGAGGCACTAATATAAGCATTTGATACTGCACTGGTGAAGTTAAAGGCACATGGCACTGTGCCCCTCAGATTTTTTCATGACCACAGATACTGATTCGAATCCAGTCAGCTGAAGGGATTGTATATCAGTGAGCCAGCGAATAGCTTTATAGTTGGAGAAATGTAACAAATGGTTTTTACTAAATTAATTCTAGTGTGGGTATTCTGGATCCCTACCTACGAAGTTGATTTCTAACTCTGGTCTCATTATATAGGAAAATTCCAGGTTCGAGACCAAGTGTGATTGTTTGACGCTAAATCTAAATTACCTTAGGAATACGAGGCAAACAACAATCGCGCCTCTTCCAGAGAATTCTCGCGCAGTCTAGAATTCTATATTTTTATTATATATACTAGTGTCGTATCTAGTTTGTTTATTTTTTATTTTTTATTTGTTAATCCTTTCAATTACTTTTTACAAATAAAATAAGCTTCTTCCAAACCTCACGAAATTTTATCGGGAGAGTTTGGTTTATGTAACATGTGTCACATAAACACATGAACATTACATTCAGTTACCAACATGACAGTTTTTCAATATTTATCTACATTGCATCTAACAAAATATTACATAATATTTTTTATTATTACACAATTGTAATAAAGTTTATTATATTACGTGCATTTTGGGTACAAAAATTCGTTTCCGCTTAATGTGTACATTGTGCCTTAGTTTACGGCTGTGACACGGTAAGGTACCTTGTGGTTAAAAAAATTACGCTCTAGTGACAAATTTCATGGGAACATTTTTTCAATCGGTCAATCAATTGATCGAAGATACTACACGTAATTTGATATAAAAACAGTCACGCTCTATAAACGCTTTCAAACAAACGCCGCCCTACAGAATTTTTTACAGTCGAAATCAAACATCCATTTACAACTACAAAAGGTTAAAAAACGTAATTAAAGTACAGTTGCTTGGCGGTAGAAATAAGTTTGCAAAAGAAATAAGGCCTACAGTAGACCTTATGTGACATACTTAATATATGCGAAGAATTTCTCGCGACCGCAAGATCTCAGATGTCGGTGTAACGTTAACCTACGGTTAATGTACTCTGGTTTATATTTCGTAACTTTCCAACGCAGATATTTACCTTGTAGACCCTGAATTAAATTAAACCGAAATGTGATGTTTTGTCAAACTTAATTACGAAAATCAAGTTTCTTCTTTACCTGACTGAGAAGTACTGAGATAGACTGCTCAATAATAAACATTGGATTTATTTTGTAGCGTTGTTATGCCCGATCTCGTCGTGCCAATCCAGTCGTGTAACGTGGGGGTGTAGAGGGAGCCACGGCCCCGGGCGATACAAAAATGGGGGCGGCCGAACCTAAGTAGTCAAAATTACTTTTTTGCTTAAAAATTGTAAAATATATTCCTCTACTTGAAAAAAAAAGATATCCTGAACAACACAATTTGTAATCGTGAAAATAGAGGGGGCAGCAACTTTAGTTTTGGCCCCGGGCGGCTAAATCGACGCTACGCCACTGTTCCAAACAATCTAAATTGGAAAAAAAAATTCATTGCGTGACTCAATACACAAAAGGCCCGGTGCGCGAGTTATACTTGCACAACAATGTTATTAGCATTGGCCAAATTAAAGCCGACTTGAAATCAGTTTTCCTAAATTTGATTTCCAATCGACTTTTATAAGTATTATTATTGCGAAATTTTTAAAGATTAAAACGCAATGTAATAATAATAATATGCCAAAACAACCACACTAATTATCTGATCTCAAATTAGGAAATTTCTGTACTGTGAGTACCAGTGTAATGCAATTTACTCTTTTTTTATACACCTGATGGAAAATGATTAGGAGAATGCACACCTAAATAATGCCCATTCACTCTCGCCTTGAAAGGTCGCTTAAATGCTAAACGGCCGCATGTCAAAAGTTCGCTTTTTTACAGGAGAGGCGACTAAAGTTTTCGACCTCATTTTTTAAGATTTTAATATTGTTTTATTTTTAAGTACCCATGTATTTATACTCAAAAGATGCGTATTTTAAGTCTCTATAAATTTGTAAACACAGACACAACTCACAAGAGGACTGTTTAGCTCAAAAGTTAGCCGTTAACGAAAGTGCAGAATGCCAAACAAAAAAAAATGCGTAATTCCGTTGTTCATAATGCTCCGTGTAGTATTATAGTTTGACCGTTTTTAAATACATTTTTGCAATAAAAACCTTTTTGAAAGTTTTTGTTAAGCGGCGGTTTAGCATTTAAACGACGCCATGAACCAATTTAAAAAAGTTTATTTATTTCCCAATGCAAACCGTTGAACTACCGATGTCGTCGAATATCTTTGCATACTCATTAAAATAACCACTGAAGTCCGATTTAAACATTTCAAATTAGTATGTTCAGTGTAGCATTTTAGTAGCAGTAGAGTTCCTCGTGAAAGAGTTTGTGCACGGAAGTACTGCCACCTTATTTTTTTCTGCCACCAAGCAGTAATGTGAGCACCATTGCATTCCAGTTTGGAAGGGTAGGGGTACTGGTGATTACAGGCACATGGGACTTATCAGGGTAACAAACGCAGTGGCAGTGCCCCTAAGTAAAGCTCTGATTGGCACTGCAACTGTTATGGATAGGCGTGTCGCTTACCTTGTTCATCCCGTCACTTGGTTTTATAAAAAAAAACATAATCTTTATAGGCTACCTGATATCTTGTGCCAGCAGCAGTGTAAGCATGGCTGCGTCTGTGGGCCCGCCTATCATCATACCTTTCATGCTGTTCGGAGGCTTCTTCCTCAATTCAGGGTAAGTATCTTCTGTTTGAACCCACGGGCTACGTAGTTATTTATTTGTTTTATTTGACTTCGTGAACCAAGTTGAGCAAGACGTGCGATCGCCGCACTTAGCAACAACAGCTGCTTGTAACATCGAAAAGGGCATGTCGAATAATATACGAAATAAATATCTTATATTTTATATCTAGCTCTGGAGCAAAGATGCCTATTCGCCCAGAAGATGCCTATTCAATCGCACCTTAAATATTATTCGGGTTGAATGAGCTCGGAAACAGTCGCAAGCAGGGAATTCCGTTCCTGGGCTGTGCGCATATTAAAAGATGATATTTCATTAATTTCAACATTGTTTCTTCCTCTAATCACAAATCTACACATCTTACATTTTTTCAAGGTCTGTCCCGCCATACCTAGGCTGGATATCATATCTCTCCTGGTTCCGTTATGGCAACGAGGCTCTGTTGATCAACCAATGGTCTGGTGTTGATTCCATCGCGTGCACCAGGGAGAATTTTACTTGTCCGGCTTCAGGAAAAGTTGTATTGGAGACTCTAAGCTTTTCTGAGGTAAGAACCCTGTGAAGATGATTGTTGTTTCAGCGGGTAAACAAGTATTGTTGTATAATATCAGTTCCTGACGCAGCGAGAGTTGAAAACGATTTGTTGCTTTGGTACTCAAGGAAAAGCGATATACTCTAGTTTTAGGGCAGGAAACCGATATGCCCATCATGCTTATTTTATTTCATAACGTACTTCTTACGTAGTTAAGTAGCAACAGAGCTCCATAAGAAAGAGAACCTTACCTATTTTTCCAAGCAGTAATGTGCTGGTAAAATTAGAGGTACTTGGGATTTGTCAATTCTATGTCTAAGGGTGACTCAGATCTTTATGATTTACTTCGAGTGGTACTGCAATGGTTATTGTATACGCGTGTCGCTTACCACAATGCCCATTACTTATTCGTCCCGACAAATAAAAAGTGTTATGTATGGGACTCGAGCATTCTCTTTCATCGCTACCGTGCCAAACCAAAACACTGTAACATCAAAAATAGCATTCTGAGAAAAGGCTGCGTAAAGGATATTTCGGTATTTTGTAATTTTTGAGGTTAATAACATAAAAAGATACATTTAATTTGATATTAAAGTATTCTATCTAGCCATTATTGTTTTACTTTGGAAATTAAGTCATTTCTATTGCAAAAGAAATACATTTTCTTTTCCCTCGTTAACAGCCGAAAGATTCTTGTTATTATTAAATTACAAAACACTATGTTGAACCTTGCAGTGTTTTGGCTTGACACGATAGAATGTCGTTTTTTTATTGTTAAAATCTGCGCCGCAACAAATGTTAGTAACCCCCCGCTCCTGAGACATTTGCGCGATCTGAGAGTTTTCCTAGTCAAACCAGTACTTTCTGTGTCATGTCAAAATAATTTCTAAATTTTAAATGTTACAGTGTTGTTTAGTTTTTGATGTCTCATTCAAAAACATCAATACCACCAAAGTTGAAAAGTCAGGGCCTAGATCAAAACATTGTAAGTGACTTTACAGTGTATGGTTTCACACGGCAGCTGTTTTTAAGTAAAATAAAATATAAAACTTCCCTTTGAAAGCGTAGGACTTATATCGTTGTCAATATATCTTAATCTTACACAATGTCAATTATAAAAACAAAGCTATCACTGTACAGTTACCATCAAAATTGGTACTCATTATTAAATAACTACGATAAGATTCAATGAATGAATGTATTTTCGAGTCGGAAATGTTGACCCGACCTCTTAAAGACAAATTGTCACCGAAGTATGAATTTTTTTATTGTCGTCGTCTTTATTTTACAACTTTGGCTGAATGAATGGACTTCAGAGGTACTTTTACATTTACACGGGCATAAATAGCATCGGATACGGGCCAGCTTCATAGACGTGACGTTATAATAAAAATAGACATCCGACTTGGACCACATGACTTAAAATTGCCTACTAAAGGAGTCATTACTCCTATAGACACGGGATCGAAAAAGGCGATCAGAAAAAACTTTATGGCCTTATCTATATGTATCTATAGATGAGAGATAAAGTACCATAAGTCCATATTTTGGCATTTAGATGTTTTTTACAAACATTGCTTTAGAATATCTAGCATTCCAAAGCAATATTGTAATCATGCAATGGTAAAGAACAATTAAGTCCTATCGTCGCGACGATAATAATAATAATTATTTGTCGTTTGTTTTCATTTAATATATTTTATATGACCTAAAGATTGATTTTAAAATGCTTAATTAAGAACCTCATTCCCTTGAAAATGCTCTGTAGTAAAACTATTCTATTTTACACTTAGAGTATTACTACGTCCGATTCGTATCAGGGGGGCTACTCTCGATCTCCGACCGACATCCGTCCGATACAATTACTGCCAAATAAGCAATATTCGACAAAATTAAAAGACATGTATCCAGTATGATGCTTCATTCGCATCACGCGTCTTTTCATTTGGTCAAGTCAGTTCCGAATCTGAGAAATGACGATCCGAAATGTCACAAGTGTCCGAAGTTTAATATTATCTTTAGGTGTACAAGCGATATTCGTAAAATTGAGAAGTGTTTAGCTGTTACATTGCAAGCATTGATTTAAGACGAATTGAATTTAAGTGGACATTAGTGTTTTACTGGCTTTTTTAAAATTTTCTTTTTCATTCACACAGGACGATTTCAAGATGGACGTCATAAACATGGTGCTGCTTTTCATCGGGTTCAGACTGCTGGCTTACATCGCACTTTTACTGCGCACGCGTCGAGCAAAATAAAATTATTGTTGGTATAAGGAAACGTATCGAAAGTTATATAACTTTTTTATTTGTTGATATTGTTTTTTATTTTTTTTATTGATTACAATTCCTATAAATATTGCTATTTACTTGTTTTTGTTTTATTATTTACACAAGAACTACTTTACAAAGTATATTTAATGATTTATAAGTACACTTACTCTGTGTTCAATTGTACGATTTGTGTGTTTCGCACTATGAATAATATTGCTATAATAAATCATTGACTGAAATTTATTGAAATAGTTTTATTTTCTTTATCGGTATTTAACAAATAATGTACGAAAAATGTTCAAATATAACAAAAATAGTGATTAAAATTTATTTTATTGTGGAAGTGCATTTGACCTCCATCTCAATGAAAGTGACGATGAAGTCGACGATGGAGCATACAAACCTATATGATTAATCAATTACCATGAATGTATTTTGCCTTATTAATGATGTACGGTGTAATTGATGACATCAGAATTCATAATACCCAACCCAAATTCTGTGATAAAATACGTAACAGAAAAACTTAAATATCCATACCGTTCCATAATATACAATAATCTCATAAGTTGGTTGGTAACTCACCTAGTGTCCACTCATTGGCGACAAAATACTTGACCAGTAGCCAGTATACACCGACACCTTGCATATCAGACTTTGAATCTTATCTCACTGGCTTAAACGTCGACTCAAAGGCCGGGAAGAACTGGATGTAGTAAACACCAACGTTTTAGCTAGTTGGTAGGCTTCAGTTATCGACACCGCCCAACTTCGGGCACGGGTCAACGAGCAAGGCGGCGCTTCCGTACTTTCGTCATTCATTATACCGCGCCCTCAATAATAAAATGACTAAATAGATTTGTTATAATTATTAAATACAAAAATTGAACACAAAGAAAAATTCCTCCGACCTGACAGTGCCAACCCAAGGTCACCTTTTCACCAATGGATAGAAGGAATTTTTTTCGTTGTGTTCGTTTTTAGCATTAATCATCATCAACCCATTATACATTCCACTGCAGCGCACGGGTCTCTTCTCAAGCGAGACCCTTCCCAGTGTTTTCCTTCATCGAAAAGCTCATAGTGAATTTCGCACATAAATTCCGAGTAACTTAGAGAGGCGAGTCTGGACTCGAACCCACAACCTCTACTTGAGATTCGATAAGTCAAGCCATTAGCCTAATGGCTTGACTTATCGCACGTATAAATACTATATTACTAAATACTATGTATTTATAATAATTAATTATAACAAATTAGTCGAGTATTTTCACAAAATATATATGAACATCATGGCACTAAAAACTTCATGATATGTTCAATAAAATCAATATAATTAACTAGATAGATATCGAGTTCTTAGGTTTTAGCGATTGTTACACATAGGAAATGAAACTATTTTTCCGAATTTAATATCGGGCCCTTTACAGGACCCTTGGTCACCGGTTGTTTCACTGTCAACCGTGTCGACCGTATCCATGGGACCTGTAAAGGGCCTGAAACGTTAGTTTGTTTAAAAAAACAAATATACGTGATTTAAATCCGGAAAAATAGTTTCATTTCCTATAACTAGAAAGAATTAAAAAAAAAGGTATTGGCCAAATATAACTAGGTATAATTGATATTTGATATGAAGAATGAAGAATATAAATAGAATATAATAATAATAAATAGAAAAAAAGGTAATATTAATTATATTTCGCATATTTTTCTTAAATCTGATTTGACATTTTGACATGTTACCTTTTGAGTATCGTTACTTTATAATTGAGTGTGAAAACGTATGATGGCCTCTGCATTGTACCCGCGTGGCGAAATTTGGTCTAAACCTAGAGGAGGAAATGTATTATCGTAAACTACGTGTTCTGTTTAGTTTAGTTGATATGGAGAAAAATCATTTGTATATGTATTTGTACAATGGTACACAAAAAGAGCGAAAAGACGTGACGTGTTTCGCTTTCGCTCGGACCACCGCCGACGTTGCTGAAATCCTATTTATAGTAGGAGTAGAGCTCCCTGTGAAAAACTTCGTCCAGGATAGTATTGCCACCTTACTTTTTTCTGCCGTCAAGCAATAATGTTGGCATTACAGTGTTCCGATTTTGAAGCTAAGGGTGCTAGTGAAATTACAAGCAACTAGGACTTGTTAACTTATGTCACAGGGTAACAGGCGCTGTGGTAGTATCCCTCAGGTCTTTGCAATTTAAAGCTCTGAGTGGCACTGTAACTGTTATGGACAGGTGTGTAGCTTATCATCAGACGCACGACCTGTTGTAAAAAAAATCATTTCAAGATGGAGATGAGGAGATGAGCAGATGTATATAAGAAACGTAATAAACCTACGCAGTAGAACATCATGATAAAAACTTACTCATGTACTTACTTTGTCAGCAATGTCGTTTTTCTAGTGACAAATCCTAAGTAAAAACAAATAGAACCATATTGTACTTTAAATATTGAATTATTCCAATGTCTATTGTTCTTACTATCTTGAAATGCTATTTATTTGTATTAGACAGTCACATAATGTGGAAATTCGTTAATGTCATTTGATTATTAATTTAGCATAAATTGTAATTATTCTGTGAAATTTCCTAATATTAAAAAAAATATATATAAAACACACGTGGAGCATGTTGTATAAGATTTCATAATGTTTTAATTATATTACATATTATTGTTAGGAATGCATATCACACCCTTAGCGTAGTAACATCACATCTGCAAAATGTAACTCCTCAATATAGAGGTTGAAAGATTCGATTCTACCAACGAAATTAGTCTATACGAAATCTCACAAATACTTACATAACTTGTTTCATGATGTAAATAAATTCTTGAACTACAAAATGTGACACACAATCCTAACTAATAGTAACAGTAAGTAAATGTAACTAGCAGTAACTAGTGTGAGCATTGCTGCGTTCCGGTTAGAAGGGCAAGGGTGCTGGTGAAATTACAGGCACATGGGACTTGTCAACTTATGTCTCAGGGTGACGGGCGCAGTGGCAGTGTCAAATAAAAAATCAAAAGATTTACTTTTTACTTTTACTAATAATAACAAACTAGTTCTGTTTATACGTAGTAACTTGTTCATATTCGATATTTCGATGTAGCAAAGATCTAAAAATTATACAAAATAATGGAATAGAAAAACTATTTTCTGTTTTAATAGAAATAATTCCGCAAAGTGCTGCGACAGATTATTTACTGTGGGTTTTGGAACCATTATAACTAGAGCACATTTTCCAAAACTTACATTTTCGTCATTGATCCCCATTTTCCTAGATTAATTTTTCAAATTTCCAGCTTATCATTCTATTCAAAGATGTAATCTCAAACATATGTCTGTCTCTTTTTAACTCGAATGCTGTCCTTATCTAACTCACTGTTTAGTATCACCCGACAGTGTATTTGAAAGCAGACGCGCGCATCGTTTGTGCTAAAGTTTGCGTTAAAATGTTCTCTCGAACTCTGAATATAGTGATATTTGTAATAAATTAAAGGTTATAAACAATAATAAAATAGTGAAAATGAGCAAGTCTGGTAATGGCGGCAAGAATGGTTCTAGAAACCCTTCAACGAATAATACATCAAATCCCTCGTCTCTGGATGATTCCTATGTAAGTTTTTCGTTAATATAACTTAAGTAGCCCTTTAGATAAATGTTGTGCACATTTATAAATGTTGTATACAATAAAAAAATGAATTTTATTAAAATACGTTTATAGTTTAAGTACTTAGTTAATTATTGTTGAAGTTTTTTGTCGACATAATTACTATTAACTCAGTGTTTTACTTAACAGTTACTAATTTATTAAGTAATTATTTCTATTAATTTCATGTCGAAACTGTCTGTGTAAAGAAATAATATCCGTACGATGAAAGCGATACTGTCCCTGCACAAAACTCTCGTTTTTGAAATTTAAACTTAACTTCAGAAACTTTAAAGGCTATTTCCCAAAAGGCGACTTTCTGGCTTAGTGACGTATCGATATCAACGTGCGATGTGGTACAGAAGTTTTTTAGAATTATAAAATTCAACATTGTATTACGATTTAAAGCGTTTTAGGTTTATTAGATGCAATGCTCCGTAATCTGATGGAGAACACGCGTCGAAATTCAATTGTTGATTGGTCGAGTATTTTTCGACTCCGTGCGTGTATTACCTATTATATACCGAAGTAATTTAGATTTATGTATCCTCTAGGCCTCCCGGAAGTCATAATGGGATACACGCAAATACTGTTGCACTCAAAAGTTCGCTCTCCGCAAAACGCCTTGGTTTTCTAGAACTAGTAACCGAACAACTTGAAACCGAAGTTATATAACAACTCTCTAATTTCTGAAATGTTAACTGCCTCTGTGGCAGAACGGTTACCATGCCGACTGCCATCCAGAGGTCCCGGGTTCGAACCCCGTGCCGGGAGAATTATTTGTATGGCCTACATTTATGTCTTTCGTGTGTTTGAGTTTAATTTGTGGTTGTCTATGTGCGGAGCTAAAATCTTTTTACATTGACAAGCAAATTAAACTTAAAGTCTTAACATTAAAATGAAGAAAGTTCTTAAGTTGCGTGTAACCAGATACTTAATCCACAGGAATTAACACCCACAGACGTAGCATACGTAGACAAGACGTCTAGGTCGAAGTACGACCCGCTCTACCCTGAAGTCGAAGAGTTTCTCGGGTCAGCACCCGCGCCGCGCCCTTGTACGCTGGTCTGGCGGGACCTTAGCGTGCATATTAAGTTAAAGGGTGGGAAGCTAAAACGACTCGTCAATAATGGTAAGTATTTATACGACGGACCAACGAACATCTTCTGCGCTACGACGTTCGACACTTGATTTTTTTTTACTTAATAATCATTTTAAGTGGACGCTGATTAAAATTTTGTTATGCGGACATTTTTTTTAATAGTTGTCATTTATATATCAGAACTGCCCTTCGGTATACCTAGCGTGACTATTTTTTTTTCTGTCAGAGCGGGACGCCTGTGAAGTTATTATTATTTAAAAAATAAAACACTCGTTTATGATAGTTACGAAATGTTGTACCTATGATTAAAAAAAAATTAAAAAAGGACTAAAAATGTTTAATGATCAATAGTTTAAAATCTTGTGAACTGGCTTCGTTTTTCGCTTTCGCGCCATTTTTAATATTATATAATTATTTTCGGGACAGCGGGATACGTAACTTAAAAGCGGGACCATGTCACGTTAGGAATACCGTAGTAAGATAACTATGTATAAAATAACATTTTTCCATCAAATCTCTATAAATATGATGAGTGATTCATCAAAATAAATAATATAAAGTTTCTTGCCAATACATCCGAGTAAGGTAAATTTTGTTACAGTAAGCGGTATCGCGAAGCCCGGTACATTAGTCGCACTAATGGGACCTAGGTAAGTAGTTACACCTACCCTTACAGCTTTTACTACACTTTAGCACCTTTCTTTCGTACAGTAATACGAGTAAGTCGGCCTGATTTATATGTAGTACAATGTAGCGTCACAACGCAATGTCGACACAACCCCGGAGCAACGTGTGGTATCGCTCGTAGTACGTTGAAATCATAGCGACAGTTGCGACGACGTAATAGCATCAATCAATCAATCAAATCATTCAACATTACCTTGCCTATTTCTGCCGCCAAGTAGTAATGTGATTGATTTTGATTGCCTCTCCCGATCGGAAACTACGGGTCGTATTCTAGAACTCTATTCAATGCTCAAGTCAGGGTTCACTGGCAACACAAGCACTGGAAATACGACTCTAATGGCAGGGACTTGAGTATGATTTCGAGTGCTTTAAACCATACTCAAATCATGAATTGAGCATTGAGTAGAGTTCTAGAATACGACTCTTAGTCTCTTCCGAGTCGAGGCGCATAATTGCGACTCACAACTGACCGATCGAAAAGTTTTGACATTTCAAATCGGAACAATAGTTGATTTAACTCACAAATTAGAAAGACATAGTAGAAATCACGTTTATCTTCTCGCTCGAAAACCCATCTGATGTCGAGACTCGTATGGGCTACCCGATCGGATCGTTTCTGATTTGAATTAAAATCAGCCTGCTGGTGAAATAAAGGCACATGGGACTTATGTAAACTTAAGTCTCACGGGCGTGGTGGCTGTTCTCCTCATCTTTGGGATTTAAAGCTCCGAGTGGCACTGCAACTGATATGGACCGGCGGGTCCCTCACCACCACGCGCTTAATCTTGCAACCATTCTTATAATATTGTAAAAGTACCTC